GGTAATCATAATTCAGTGACTTGGTAAACACATGGTTAAGGTCATATCTGCAACGGACGTACGCGCCCCTGGGTAACCAGAAGCGCCTAACTCAGTCTACTGAACTTCAACGGTTTCGTCCACCGCTGACAACATTACAGCAAACATCAACAGCGACGCCAGCACCCAGTCGGACAGTTGAGCCATCGCGCCTTTCTCACGTACCGGTCTTGTTCTATTTTCTTGTATGGTTCATTCTACCTCGACAAAGTATTGGCACTATTACCCATCGCAACAATGTGCTAGAGAAATCTATCGTTATGCATTATACATATATTTACATGAAGCGTGTTGAAAGAGCATAAAAACCAACTAACTAGAAGTTTAAAATGACCACCGTCGTTTCGCTTTCAGAGCTATTGGCTAGCACTTTCGGCAAAGTGTCCAAAAAAATTCCACGACTTCCGTTGACGATGCTCAGTTTCAGTTCCTTCGGCCTGCATCTGGAGAATGACAGAGGTCTGAAACATTTTTGGCAGGAAGATGCTAACAAATGTAAAGCATTAGTTCAGTTAACAAATCAAGTTACCCGTCGCATTCTTGGAAATGAAAAAGGGGGCGATAATTGTTCTGCCTGTCAACCCAACCCATACCATGAGCTGTGCACCATGTTACACGCGCGAAGCGATGCATTGCGTGGGTTATTGGTAGCCCAAACATGCTGCTTATCGGCGCCATGCAGATGGAAAGGTGCCTCATTCGTAAACATGATTGAGTGCACGTCCACGATATCCAGGTACCATAGGGATAATTCTAGCTGTCAAGCACAAACGCATGACTTCAGAAGTTGTACCTGAAGTTCACAACATCTTCAGAATTTCCGTTCCTTCAATCCATGATGCACAGATGATCGTGTGGTGGCACCATGCCACACATTTCTCCGCATGGTTAGATAATCCTTTCGGTCTACCACATCTAGAACAGCGCAAGTGGACACTTCATCCGTGGCAATGTGAAGCCGCCTGGTCCGCTTTCCTTGCACATGCTCCCAGTTTTTTCAAATTTCTCCATCAGTCGACGCAAGTGCCACGCTCAATCAGCCTCACTGTGTTGTTGGTAGGATTATAGCGACTAGCAGTGTCGGTCGTATTCGATTGGCACTCATCAACAGTAGCATAAGAATCACGCGCTGGTCCACAGGCATGATATGAGACTACGGTTGAACTGGGTGTATGTGCTCCTTTGCTGATGCAGCGAAATGACAACGGTGCCTGTGTGTAGGTTATCAACTTCCGTCATATTCATCGATGGTGCCAAGAGCAATCACTGCGGCGAATTCTTTCGTCAGTAACCTCCAGACAGCTTGTTCTCTCTGCCCATCCGGCGTTGTCATGATGCATTTCAATATCGGTGTGGCAACTGATATCTGTCGACCTCTTTTTGTCCATCCATCATCAGTACATCCGTACCCAGATGCAGGCATACGGCCATCACTCCACTCGTTCACACTCATGTGACCGGGTGAGGAATATTTTGAGAGACCAACATCTACTAGTGAACAGTTGGCAATTTAATGCGCTCTCGTTGCACCCTAAAATATAAACCTTGGTCTCCGAGCAACGGAGTACAACGGGACCATTCTTTTGGAACTTACCATAGAAATGCTGCACCTGGGATCCTTAGGAATTTCTTCCGTGCAATATCTTACAGAAAATAAAGGAAATTCGTGTGATCAGTTGAGTGTGATATATCTGGTGTCTGAAGATTAAGAGCATAAACTGTATTCTAACGGAGTGTGAAAAGTCGATGCGGCCGCACAGCAAATGGACTAGAATGTACGAGCCCTACCGGTGGAAGCCATATTACTCTTGGTAGAGGTAGTCAAGTTCTTCAAGCTAAGACATGATCGCGTCAGCAGTGCTAGCCTTCATGGATTTTGAAATAATTGTAAAGGATTCACTGAACGGTAGTTAGCCGGATAAGAACGTCTACCATGTTTATAAATCTGTGTGAGAAACATACACACTTGTATGAGGCGTACCCTGCCGAGCTGTCCAAATCAAATAAGATACCTACGATAGTTTGTCTCAGGAAACTTCATCTTTTGCGTAAATAAATCTATAAAACTTCCTATTTTGCAAAGTCAGCATTTTAGGAGCAGAAGTGCTTTCTGTATGACTCTGCGCACACAATATGAACAAAGAAGAAAAGGTAGAATTACTTGATGCGCCACTTTTAACTGATGAAGTAGTAGTATGTGTAGTAGTGTGTGTAGTGTAGTGGCAGTAGTATGTGTAGTAGTATGTGTTCTAAAGGAAATACTACAAATAACAAACAGCTTCTGTGACATGTCATTTAAGACCGATAGTATCAGGCTGACACCGTCGACAGCCTCTTAAGTGACGTTCAACTCAGATAGATACCCAAGGTTAACCATTTGCATCTGTGACGTACTACCGGTACCTTAATGATTACCTTCGTTGTTAACGCAAGCCACCTAATCAAAACTCGTTCACCATTAATTCTTGGTTTCCGTGGGGCATTATACTACTGTTGACCGACGCTTGGTGGATATATGCCAAAACGCTCACTCTTGGATTGCTGGTGTATACATTGATACAAACATTTAAGAGCTTGAAACTAAGTTCGGTGGCTATTACTCGAAATGACCACCTTTTTGTACAATCGGGTACTGAAAACTACACCAGAACTGACCGTACTGGAATCTGTTCTCTCTGTAGAAAACGTGTTGGGTGGTGCTTGGGGTACTAGTCGGTAATCAATGACCAGCAAGAGGGGTGCCAAATACGGGACAGTATAGAAGTTGGAGGCGACAGAACCCAATGTATATTGTGCAAGCTATAAAAATAGGAAGCGGATCAACCAGAGGGAGAAACGGTGCAGCAAAGTAGTCGCCAAAACAGTTTGTGTCAACGGAATTGAAGTCAGTAAAGCAAGTGGACGTTATAAAGATTAAAATAACAGTAAAATCGAATGTTGTGAAATGCTAAAAGAACGTGGTTTCCGGTACACTCCAAATGATAGTCATCATCTAGGTGCATTTTGCTTCGCCCAACTAGTATCAATTTATGCAAGACATCTTTGAATTTAGGACAGATATCGCTTTGCAAGTGCGTAAAGCGATCCCACCTTTCAACATGTCCTACTCAGCATTTACTTTGAAAAGTCCCGGAACAGATCAATGGTCCACTTTTGCTTATACTGCCTTACTTACGGGGACCCCTCTTCCATCTGTATGTTTTACCAGGATCCACAGTTCTTAAGCTGCGGTCTCCTCAGTCTCATACAAACTATACGATCCGTCAGCTTTGCTGATTAACCGTGACGTGACGCCGTTTCATTGTGCTGATCTACGTCTAAACAGCTTACCCAAGGAAATCATATTCTGCACCTTTAGTAAAGTAATGCAAACTTCATTACTTGGACGTACCATTCTAACTCGATTAGTGATTCTCACCCCCTCTTTATAAATCATTCAAAAATATTTCAGTCAGTATGGAATCCAATCACCTCGTTCATGTGTACATTGCGACCAGTATTGATGTTTCTACTTGGGGAGATGTGAGTTTTGTGACAGGTGTGTGTGCTCCAGTAGGCTATCCGCAAGCAGATATGGGCTTCAGATGAGAAGCTACAACTGTCGACTGTAATATTAACCGGCATTGTGGCGGAGCTGCATACCTTCGATTTAGAAAACGGTACTATTTGTAGTAGAAATGCTGACTAGATATGATTAGGGAATGAGACCTTAATTTGCAGTAGGATGTGTATCTACCTAAGAATCTGCATCCGTTGCATTCCTAGGTGTCTTTCTTGGAGCTCATGTCAATAACGACGACAGCACCTGCATTTGTTTATCAAAATGGATGCTGGAGTACGCTTCCTTAACGATTTTCCTTCGACGACCTCTGCTCTAACGCTATTGGGAGCCTTAACTGCATCAACAGAATGACATGACAGCGTTCGATGTTGATGTGCAAAGTTATTAAAATGCTGTGTCCGCAGTACATGCATAAACAGATTTTTCCAAAAATACGTTAATTCTATCAGCCACCACAATTGCTTAAATTGATAAAATCCAGTAGCTCGACTGATGTGAAACGGATTATGAGCATCAGGAGTTTGGACTGATAAGTGTCGTGCGAAAAAATCCAAGACAATTCTGATACTCGCCCACATTGTTAAAAAGTATATAGAACTCGAAAGTAAATTGCAAAATCTATGCAGTTTACACTGTTTTCTAACCAACCTTTACCGAGCAACTAAATGTTCCCGAAAATGTTAGAAATTATCACATACATGGGTTCCTCGAAGACTCAGTAAGGGGTTTCTTTTCCTTGCTTCCGCAGGTACCCTGTTATTTCCAAGCGTAACCACTTACTGAAGGCAAAACACTTGCCTTGTACAGTCAACTTAATCTCACCAATCCACAGCTGATAATTTTAGTGATGCCTGTGGAAAGTTGGTACAGTGTATTGGATTGCGCTATTCTAGTAGGAAGATTACATCGGAAAAGTGGATTTTTCTTTCGCCTTAAATATCGCGCTGAATTACAAACATACTGGCGTTGTGTTGGACCTGAGGCGATTTCGGGTCAATACGACGAACAAAGTAATATAATTATAATGTGGTCATTCCATTAGTCCTTCCCAATAATACCTTCATTACAGAGCTATTTGCTCGTCTTCAGAGTACACGTGGTTTGCGAAAACGGCACTTTGAGCATTTAAATTTGAACACCGGTTTCAGCGTTATCAGGTTTCCAGCAATCAGTGGGTCTGTTTTATGCAATAATTGCGGTCGATCAATAAATCTCACATGCTTGGTGATAGAGGTGCCATTATTTCATAAGTATGGAAGACATTTGCAAGCAGAAAGGAAAAAAGACCGGTGCATGTCGCACTAAGATAAATGGCAGTTCATCAAAAGAGATTAATTTCCTCTTTGTCTGACTTCATTGTTATATTCATGTGCCTAATTTCATTTGTTTTTTTTTCTAGATCTTACAGTCATTTCCGGAGAATGTGCGTGGCGATATTGCTCTGCATTTGAACAGAGAAATGCTTTCGTTACCTCTGTTCAGAACAGCCAGTCCTGGATGTCTCAAGTGTCTTGCTCAAATGATTGACACACGCTTTGCCACCCCAGGCGAAATATTAATCAATCAGGGAGACATACTACATTTGATATTTTTCGTTTGCAGTGGATCATTAGAAATTCTGGACTCAGAAGGCTCTGTGGTCGGTCTTTTAGGTTAGTCCTTAAGGAATTTTGTACTTAATACGCCACTAATGTGCGGCAAATCAGGTTCAACCCTCATGTGCCGAATACAACTATTTTTGATAGTTATGCGTTAATAGAAATTTCGTTCCCCCAATTTTCTGTCCGTGCAGCTAAGTAATGCAAGACCAAACATTTCAGTATTGGAAACAAGCTCATTTTCATAAGATGTGCTATTAAGCATAGTTTTCTGGACTTTGTTGTTAGCACACTTAGAACTGAGCGATCATGTCATGTTTTACTAGACATCTGATTCATGGATCCTGGGTACAAGAAAATATGCGAGCAATCTGATTGGTATTTATATAAATGGTTTCAGGCAGCTAAACTCAGTTTGAAATCCACAGGAGCTCGGTAGAAGAACCAAAACAGGAACAGTTTGTGACCAGCTTTATGCGCTACCCGTTGTAAGAAATATATTTGGAGCGAATCCTTACTGGATTCTTTTATGGATGTGGTTTAAATCTGTGAAGGAAAAGCATCCAACTTTAGTCATTAAAGTCAGTCGTCATGAAGTAACGCACTGATTAGCGCTGGCTGCTATCTTGGCTGAACATTTCACGTCGACCGCATAATTATGTGATCAGCATGATTATATACACTATGCCTAGACCCTTTGCACACTTATCTAATTGCCTATGCAGCTTGCACGATCCACTAAAGCCTTCACTATTTTGATCAGAAATACCTAACGTTTGTAAACTGTTGCTTAGTCAGTGTGACTTCCATCGTTGGTCTATTCATTTTCGATGTGTTTTTGCAGGACAGTAATATTTCAACCCATGAAAGTTCTACCGACTCAGGCAGTGATTATCAAGTATTCCACTCCACTGATTGATACCAGTGGATGAGCTAAACGTTGTTCCGATAAGGTAGTTGATCTCCGCTGTCATACCACACCTTCCAAAATACATTTTGTTGAGAGTAGCTGTGTAAACCAATTGAAATTCTCCAGCTGGCGTGACAGTTGCTTGCTGCAAAGGCAGTAGTTCTTTGAAGTTAACTTGCAATGCTAATATCCAAAATTTGCGCAGCCAATCCAGTGGGTGAATACAATTAAATCTTTTATGGCCTCAGGGGTTAGAGCAGGAAACTGCAAATCAAAATTATTAGTAATTAGATTATGGAGTAAGAAAGTAAAAGGTTTGTTTGTGATATGGACTGTTTCCTGGATATCACCTATTGCACGCGTAAATTTATGTTCCAGTACAAATTGCTGTACGCGGAAGGAAAGCCACCGGTTATGGGTTAATGCGTATTAACTTAGACAAATGCATCGTACTATTGTAACCGTTTGCTCCAAAGGACACGAAAGTTTCGATGATTAAGTTATCGATGCAGATAGAAATAGGGCGTTGTCTGTTCGAAAACCTCACTAATATGACACGTTTCAAGCGTATTTCCTCGCATTAGATAGAGATAGCAGGCGTCGAACCCGGGACCGTTGGGATGTTAGTTGTGACCGCTACCCCTAATGCATTTAAAGTTGTTAACGATTAGGCTGCAGGACATTAAGCAAGAAAAGACCGGATACTGGAACATGAAATACAATAACCAGCGAGTCTCTTATCAACTATCCTGGAAATTCGCCTCGATTGGGAAACGACACGCCGCATGTGTTACTTTGGTAATCTTTTTACAATTACGCTGCTTAATGAAGATATGACACCTACATTTATCGACATCGTACTTCCGTGAGATGGTTGTTGTGGGAATTTAGGCCGTATCTTGTACAGTAAGGGAAATGATCTCATTGCCTTCTGGTTCCAGTGCTTTGAGTTTACACTAAATAGGAAAGTTAGCTGAGTATGTTCAGCATTTCTTTGCCCGCCCAATTACTTTGGCAAGAGAAACAGATAATTGTCATGAGCCACCCGGTCCACGGGGTCCTGTTTTGCATGTAGACTGTTGTCCCACAGAAGTAACTCAAGTTAAAATCAAGTGATCTTGCTCCCAATTCGAAAGTGATTTCGCGGTCTTGGACGATGTCAATGCATTCGGTGGTGGTTCAAATAACCTACGACCGTCGTATGTGCTTACCTGACAAGTTTCTTTGTTACTCCACCTGAAACGTCAACTGCGTCAGCTCACCCTTTAGAAGCGTAGAAATTTCTTTTCAATTCTTATGTGTCAACCATGGAAGGCTCTTCCCAAATCGGTTGTTTTCGCACCCACGCTAGTCATATTTAAAAGTTGGTTGGATGTCTCACACCGCCCCTTAAATTTTGGTACCTGACGGGACTCTCCCGGGACTCACTCCCGGGAAACACCATGCATTTACTTTTTTCTATTGAAGCTCTGGAAACACCCGGATTGCTGGGCTTCTGTATTACATTAAAAAGTCTACTCTTTTGAGAATAGAAATACTAAATGTGTTTTTCATTAACGTCTTTCGATAACTCACCAGGCTATCCAACGGGGTTTGTAAAGCAGTGTTTCTTAACCCTTATAAAACCATCGCTCACAGTTTATTACGTTTTGTCACCTCGGCCCGTATATCCACACCAAAATCATATGCAAACTGGGCAAATGCTATCCCAGAAAGCTTATCCGACAGAGCAGGAAATTACGCAACGACACTTGTCTCGCGCAACCTTAATGAGAAAATGAAGTTGGGTTGCAAATGAAATTCATTTCAGCGCAAGCGCATTTGCAGAGTAGAATCTGAACAATGAACAATGAAGATGGATTTATGCCAGATAAAAAGGCAATTACTTGACAAGTCCCGCAGGATGGTGGGGGTAAAACTACAATTTTCAAACGATAGGTGAGTAGTCTGCTGAGCGTTTATCTAGCAGATACGCCACTGAATAATAGTATTGTAAGTAAGAATTGTATGCGACCGACGAGGCAACATGGTGTAGTTATGGTTTCTGTACTTCGTGAGGAAAATAAAAACGAGAGCACTCACTTCTGTACCGCATCCTCAGGTAACATGTTAACCCGGTTTGAAGGGATAATTAATATATTCCAACGTAGCACATTTTGGGTAACGAAGTGATGGGGACCAAGGGCAAGATGCAATCATCTTTCGAAAATATCCAAGTTGGGGGAGTAAACAACTATGTTTGGGAGAGGGTTATAGCATTGGCAAACCAGAAGAGAAAAGTAATTCCGCCGGCATTCCAGGCGGTTATACTATGCCAATAATTTCAAAGGGTATTCTCTGAGATTGGCTTTATGGCAAAGTTTTAGCAAGTGACTGCATACGTGATTTGGGTCACACAATATTTGGTAGACTAATAGAAGATCACCGCACAGTCTTAGATAGCGGCCACTGAAAACTCCCAGTGACTTCAGCCTTTGATTGTACGACAGATCTGATAGGCCATTAACGTCCTTTGTTGCCTTGTGTTGTGGTTTCTCTAGCACTTCTAAGTCGCTCTTCAACCAAGGTTGCCAAGCTTGGATGGCGTATTCAAACTGGGGGCGCACGTAAGATTTGTGCATCTCCCGCATGAGCTCCGCAGCAAACCGACGTGCTCGTTGACTCTCTTCGTTGTCGCCTCTGACTGCTTTGAACAGTTATGGTCACTTTGAATGAGCACACAAACGTCGCGTTCTTGGGAACTTGTATGCAATACATGTGACCCAATCCTATACAGGTAGACATGCCTATGGCGCAAATGAACAACGTGACGCCTTTTCCACACTGAACAGTAGTGTATCCAAAACTGACCATTTGAAATCTTGTTGAGATCACGCTGGAGCTTTTCGTGGTCGTTAGGTTCTCTGATCGCGCACCATAACTTGATATCATCGGCGAAGAATAGGAACTCGTAAATAATTTCCCTCGACAGATCATTTATAAAAATCAGAAATATCCGGAGCTCTAGTATCGAGCCTTTTGGTACACCGTATTCCATCTCAATTGCGTCAGACAGCGATTCTCATACTCTCACGTCCGACAGAGGTTCATGCTGGAAATTGCCTATCCAACACAACAGTGGATCACCAATGCCATACAGCTAAAGCTTGTGGAGAATTCGGTGATCTAAGCGCTCAAACGCTTTTGAGAAGTCCAGGTAAATGACAATGACTCCAGCTTCACCATCAACTGCTTCAGTCCAGCTATTGCATGTAATTAGCAGATTCGTATTGCATGAACGCTTCAGTCGGAAGCCATGTTTCTCTGATGCTATCAACTTGTGATTTTCCAGCTAATGCATTGAGCGCATTAGCGAAGGCAGACTCCGCAATCTTGGAAATCACAGGCAGCAGCGCTTTTGGACGGTGTTTGGTTTGGTCAGTGTGACTATTTCCCTTATGAATTGGAGTGATGACCCGTCGCTCCCATATTGTTGAAATAAGGTTCCCCTCCAAAAAGCCCTGCTAGCAGACAGCCAGAGGTTTCGCCAGATCATTGGCTGCTGTCTGCGAAGCCTTCGGTTGAAGGTTATCGACACCAAGAGAGCTGCGGATACGCAGGGACAGCAGTTCGTTTGACACAGTTTCTGCAGTAAAAGTACCATTGGATAAAACTGACGGTGGAACTATAGCAACTGGGATAAACGTTGGGTCCGTTACGCTCTGGAACGTTTGTGAGTAATGGAACCGTAAGAGATGGGTTGTTTCCGTTTCTGATCGCGTGCACCCGTCAGTCGTGATCAGTGTTGGAATTCCGCGTTTCATCTTACGGAGGCCATTGACATGCCGGTATAAGAGTTTGCACTCGTGCCCTTGTGCTACCACTGGACAAAGGTAAAGAGAGAAAGCAATGTTGAACGAATTATCGTGGCATCAACTAGTGTGGCCAAGGTGGTTGCCCGAATCCTGCTCAACCGCCTCGTCAGTCAGGTTGTGGAACCAAAGGTGGCGCAAGAGTAGTGTGAATTCCGTTTGGGTCGCAACACTATAGATTTGGTGTTTGCGGCTCGTCAATTGCAGGAGAAGTGCAGAGAAGGCCACCATGCCTTTTACTCGCTTTTCGTTGATTTCACCAAGGCATTTGATACGGTGGACCGCGAGGCGTT